CTCTCTCCCCCTCTCTCTGTGTGTGTGTGTGTGAGAGAGAGAGAGAGAGATCTCTTACGTTCAGTTCTCTCTCTCTCTCTCTCTTTGCTTTGCCCTATTTCAGACACATGGCTAATGGCGGATTGTATTAATATTTATTATTTTTTGTGTGTGTGGACTGTGCAATATTTTGGTTTGGGGAGAGGGGGTGAGGGGGGGGAATGGGGGGGAGAGCAGGAAAGATTTGCAAATAAAAAAAACAAGTCCCCTGGTCTTGTCCCAGACCCTCTCTCACTCACTCCCTCACTCACCCCCACCCCCCCTCTCCTCTCCTCACACCTTGTGTTCTCTCTCTCTCTCTCTCTCTCTCTCTGTGTGTCCCCCCCCCCCGAACCCCCCCCCCCCACCACCACCACATAACAGCTGTTATTGCAAAGGGATTTTTTTGTCGGTTTCACGAGACTTTTGAGTGTTAGAGATCGTTTGCTTTTTTTTTGGAAGAAGTCTATGTGTGTGGGTGTGTGGAGGGGAGAAAGAGAGAGGGGGTGTGTGGGTGTGTGTGTGGTGGGGTGGGGGGGGGGGTGTGTGTGAGGGTGTGTGTGTGGGGGTGTGGGGGGGTGTGTGAGGGTGTGTGTGGGGGGGGGGGTGTGGGGGGTGGGGGGGCTATTGGAAATCACGCTTTTGTTGTGACTCTCTAACGCATTCAGTTTACTCACAACAGCGGTCTCCGCGGAACTTTTAATCTCACGTATTTTGAGAGATTTTCGCTAAACATCACATCCCATCCCATCACATCCCATCACACGGTGATGCTCTGTCCGCGTGTCGCGTCGGGGTGGCCCATAATATCGGCAAGTAATATTACTAACAACACCCCCCCTCTCCCCCTCTCCCCCCATTACATTTGTATTTATGTTGATGTTCCTTTGCTTGTCGGGTTTCACTCCCTTTTCAAGATTGTTACTGATTTTTCTAACCAGTTTTTATTATCTTTCTGTATGTCAATACAGTTTTTATTTCTGTATATAAATCCCCCCACTCCCCCCCATATATAACACACACACACCCTGAGTATCCGTTGCCTTGAAATGCTGTCAGGTGTTGAGTTAATGTGTTGTCAAGTTTAGTTTTTCTCTGACACAGGACGAGATGTCTTTTATTATTATTATTATTATTATTATTTTTTGGGGGGAGAGAAATTTCTAATTTTTCCTTTTAAAAAAAACTGCAATTTCTAAATACTGAGATCAGTTTAACTTTTGAACCACTATCTTTATTTATTTGTGTGTGTGTGTGTGTGTGTGTGTGTGTTGGGGGGGTGGAGAGGGGAAGAATTATCAGTTTCTTTTTTCTTTTCCCCTCTTTCTGTCTCTCTCTCTCTCCCTCTCCCCCTCTCCCCCTCTCTCTCTCTCTCTCACACCCCTTCTCAAACTCCCAAATTATTATTTCTTTTGCTTTCTGCTGTGTGTGTCTTTCTGTTGAGTGGGGGATTCAATTCAAAAGAAAATGCCATTTCAAAAAAAAAATCTGTGCATTTATCATTTGAAATGAATGAATGAATGAATGATTTCGGGGTCACCAGCGACAGAGATAGAGATATACGTACATATCAATTTTTTTCAAGAAAAAAAAACTTAAATGTAAACTTCACCTCTCAGTGTAGACGCCTTTTAACCGGACGGCGGTCGCAGTGTAGAGGAGAGGAGATGTGGTTCCTCTCGGGTTTGAAGGAACGCAGATGAGTTGCGAAGGGCTCAGTGTTTCGCTGCGCCTTTTGCTCTCGTCCTTTTGTTTCAAAAAGTTGACTTTCCATCTCTCTCTTCTGCATCGAATCCACATTGAAACGCTTGAAAGATACCCCGATGTGTTTTTGCCCCCAGTTTCCCCCCTCCTTCCCCCCCCCCCCCCTCCCCCCGGATAGCGTAACGCATTAGGACAGACTCCTGTGCAGCGATGAAAAAGTTTGCAGGAAACTCACTCATATAGAGTAGAAAATCGGATAGCACTGATTTGCCAACAATTTTTTTTCCCTCTCTCCAGTGCAAAGGAGAGAGAGGAAACATTTTAAAAAATTTTCTCTGGGGAGGTGTGTGCCTTTAGGTGTGTATTTGTGTGTGGGGGTGAAAAGGAGCCCTCTGTTTGGGGTTTAAGAAAATACATGTAAAAAAAATGCACATGATTTTTACAGTAAATTGCAAAAAGAGAGAGAGAAAAGCTTATTCAGCAATTGCATTTACTAAACTTTCACTGCTACGAGACGGATTGAGTTCTATATAATATGTTTGTCTTAACAAAAGTGGGCTGTCTATCTGTCATCTATCTATCTATCTATCTATCTATCTATCTATCTATCTATCTATCTATCTATCTATCTATCTATCTATCTATCTATCTATCTATCTATCTATCTATCTATCTATCTATCTATCTATCTATCTATCTATCTATCTATCTATCTATCTATCTATCTATCGCAAATATAAAACATTCAAACATAATGTATTTTTTTAAACTAGAATAGAAAGAATACTTATTTGAAAAAAACGATAAGCGCCATCCATATTTCCATCAACCCTCCCCCTCCCCCAATTGAACCAGTCTGTGCTTTGTTAGTTAACAAAAAAAGGTTATTAAATATTAAAAAAAATTGTGCCTCTGAAAAAGTTCAACCGACATAAATAAGTTCTGCAAAATCTGTAGCAATGCCCTCCCCTGTCTCTCGCAGTGAGAAAAGTGCGTATTATTTTTTGCAGTTGTATGATTTTTTTAATGTAAGTTTGTGCGCTAAGACCTGCTAAAATTCAGAACGGTTTGGGGATTTAATACTCGTTTCAAACAAGAGTTGGCTTCAAAATTCAGCGAAACCTCAGTTGTGACCCACTGTGCCACCAACATGTTGAAAATTCAGTGAAAATAATTGGCGCACACATTGAAAATACAGTGAGCTTTAACAACTGGTTTAAAAAAAACTTTGGGGGCGAGGGTTTACTCTTCATATATATTTTGGGGGAAAAAATCTATCGAAACTAAAGATCCCACTTGGAAACGAACTGATGTAAAACAGTATTTGAAAATATAAAAAAATTGCGAACACAATAAAAAAGCCGCACTTCACGCTTCGAAGAGACAAAACTTTAGCCAGAATATCGGCAATGATTTTTAGTCGGACGTTCGCTGAGGAAAAACATGTGGGATGAAGTTTTAAGCTAACCAGCGATAGTTTAAAATTAAACTTTTTTTTTAGAAACATTACATTTTAAAAAAATTTCCTAATAAACAATGCGCAGGAGATTTCTCGGTAGAATAGATCTAGTAAAATATTCATAGTGTGTGGGTGTGGGTGTGTGTGTGTGTGTGTGTGGTGGGGGAAGTATTTCTGTTGGTGATGGTGGATGTGTGGGGTTCCTAGAGGAGAGAGATCAAAGTAGCCACTGAGAATCAATTAAAAATGCCCAAGATTATTTTGGTAAATCAAATGCGAAAAGCAGAAAGTCAGAACATGTCGTTTGTACCTCCGCACTGTTCGCCAGAGCTGGTTTTTGAACTACAATAATGCAACCAACCCACTTTTCAGGCCCATGTGTTAGACAGGCGAGAGGTTAGACCACTTGTATAGAAAAATTTTGGTTGCGTTTTCCATTTGTGTTGCCTTTATTTATGGAATACACAGTAACTGAGATGGTGCCAAAGGACAAATGGCATTTGGAGTGGTAAAGCCTGAGGTTTATGTGACAAAATAGACTCACTACAAAACCACAGCTTCGCTGATGTCACTTAAAGAACGGAGTGGTTTGGCTTCCAAATGTGTAAAATGTTTGGAATTAAGCAGAATCTATTTCCCCCCCCCCCAAAAAAAAAAACTATTGTAGCCCCCGCACCACCGCACCCTATCCCCTCACTAAACCAAACTGAAAACAATTTGTGAAAAAGCGGGAAAACGACTTGATGTGATAAAAGGATTGAATTGTGCGTGCAGTCATTTTTTTCCCCCCACAAAAAAGACAGCTTTAGAAAACGTTGTGTTACTGTGTCGTTCGTGAAAAAAGTTGCACAACGTAAAAGTTTAATTTAACTAGTGCAGGTATTGACTCAATCTTTTCACAATGTGAGCTCCTGTTTGAGTTACAGGTACAAGTTGTAACTGTATAAATATATTCACAGCAACTGAACCAGAGTCCTGATTTTGTGCAATCCTTAGCCGTCCGTCCCCCTTTACCCGCTTCCTCCTCTCGCGCTCTCGCTCCCTCCGTCTCGCTCGCACTCCCTGAAAATGAAGTGCCTTTTATATATTTTTTAATATTTTTTTTCATCGATTACATTTGATATACAGCCCCTTTCACGTCAAGAGGCTGTCCCAAAGCGCTTCGCAGGATTTCACTGTAAAATGACTCGTCACTGTGTATTTTGCAGCAAGTTTAATTTTTTCAAGTGGTGCATCCAGGTTGAGAGGTGTGAGAGATGTTGGGGGGGGGGGACTTTCCCCTGACGTTAAGGAATAACAGTGACATTTGTGCGAAAAGCAGATTAAAGCGTCTTTTCTGAAATTGCTGGATGGTAGTGCAGGGAAACGGCACATTGGATACTTTCCAACATAAAGTCGACGCGAGCCTTTATGAAACTCTTCTATTTCTGACTTGATTGAATACAAAGTATGTGTCTGCAGAAAAGGCTGAACAGCATTATAGCCGAAGCTTGTTCGTTCTTCTGAAATACTTTAACAAACTGTTCAGAAATTCCCCAAGTAAATTTCCTTCATTTGAAAAGCTTACTGGCTTGGAATATACTGTATATATATATTTTCCCTTTCCCTCCAATGGTCCTTTTATTTTTTAAACCCCCCCGCCCCCCGTCTCTCTCTCTCTCTCTCTCTCTCTCTCCCCTCGTGAACATTCAATTTTTTTGTGTTCAAAGCAAAGACTTTGTGTGCTTCTCCTCCCTCTCTCTCCCCACACCCCCCCCCCACCCTTCTCTCTCTCTCTCTCTCTCTCTCTTCCCCCCCCTCCCCCCCTCTCTCTCTCTCTCTCTCTCTCTCTTTCTCTACACACATTCGCGACTGCACTGCGCTTGTGGATTCTGAGCTGTGTTGCTCACGTACAGCAGAGGAGCTGGATCCTGAACTTGTGGCTATTGCCGGCCACAGCATAGGACACCAATGTGGTGACATGGTGTCAACACACTGGCATCTCGAGTTCCCTGCACACATGCAACCAAGGCCCATTGCAGACTCCAGGCTCACTCAGAGCTGCCATTCCCATTTCTGCTGTGCCCAGATGTACCCTGCCAACCCTCCTTTGCCGGTGAGTCTCTACAGCGATGGGTAGCACAATGTTTACTTTGGAGGAAGGGGGGGGGGGGGGGGGTGGCGCGCGAGGGGAGACAGACAGGGAGAGCGGGGGAGAACGAGAGAGACAGGGAAACAGGAGAAGTATTTTCAAACCAAAAGTTGAGAATGAACCCAAATCAAAAAAAATAGACTCGCAACTAATTTCTTCCGGATTTGTAGGCGAATGTTCAACATGGGCTGGCTTTCTCCCTAAATTGTGGCGGGGACACATGCTCTTTTTATACTCCCTCTCTCCCTCTCTCTTTCTCTCCGTCGCTCTCTTTCTCTCTCTCTCTATCTCTTTCTGCCTCTATTTCCCCCCCTCTCCACCGCCCCGCCCCCCCCACCGCCAAGCATCGGTGACCAGAGATGCTATGAGAAGAGACTTTCGGTGCCTTGTAAGTTAGACGATTAAACGATTAACGAATCGAGCTTCGTTAGTTGCTGTGACACTTTTGAAAATCACCCCTCACACGACAGATTGTTCCCTACGTTTGAGATGATTGCAGTAAAGGAATTCAGTTAAGCTCAAAGATTTACAGGCCAGATGTCGTATAGCTGGAGAAAGGTTGGTAAATGAGAATTCACTTTAATCTAAAAAATCCCCTGACCGTTCCTTCCAACACAACATTTTTCATTAATTTATTTCATTAAAAGTGAAATCTCTACCAGGATGTGTGAAAGGCCTTTTTTTTAGAAGACAGAATACCGCAACTTTGTTGTGTGGAATATTAAAGAATTTTAATGTTTATCAATTAATAATAATAATAAATAATCCTTATATTTGATGTAGTGCCTTTCATGCCAGGAGATTGCCTCAAAGTGCTTCACAGGGTACACTGTAAATTTGTATAATTGTAGGCAAATACAATTTGCCGACTGTGCACTCGTAGGCAAATATTAAATATTCTGCTTGTGAAACCAAACTTCATTGTTTCGTTATAGTAGGAAAGATACACTTTGTTATCTAAAAAAAAATAAGTTTTGCGTTTGATTGGAAGAAAAGGAATTTTGTTTTTATCTGAAACCCCATTTTTCCCCCACCCGCTCGTTTTCCTTTTATAGTTTTCAAAAAAATATATGCGTAATGATGATAATGGTAATAATCCTTGAATTTGATATAACGCCTTGACAAGTCTTCGAGACGTCTCAAAACACTTCACAGAATATACTGTAAAGTGAATTAAAGTGTATATTTTTTAAGTGTATATTTTGCGGGCAAAATAAATTATCTACCAATCTCTGTGGCCCTTGTTCAGTTCTGAAATTGTTTTTGTTTTGGTGGTGAAAAAATTATATTTTAAATCCAGAGCTGGCCTGGGCTAGTTAAAGAGTTAGCTGCAGAAATAAACCCATCATATTATATATTCTCTCCTCTCCTGTTCTCATAGAAAGCGTTGTTCAGATTTGTGGTTAATCCCGTAATCACCCTGAGCGGTTAAATAGCAGTTTTCCTCAGTCACTAACATTATTGATTGAACCTGGGTTTCAGAGATTGATCGTGGAATCATAGCTGCTTGTTTGTAGGACCATTATTTCCTTGTTCAAATCTATATTGTTTTTAAAAAAGGGGGAGAGAATCCTTTTTATACAGTTACTAGATATTAAAAATACCAGACAGCAATCAAGATACTTTAACCTTTATCTGACATGAGTGCCCAATCGATGTGGGTGAGCATAATTGTTGTATATTTTGTTTGCCCACAAAATATAGTCAATCCAATTCACAGTATATTCTGTGAAGCGCTTTGAGACGTCTCTACGACGTGATAAGGCGCTATGTCAAATGCAAGGATTATTATTTTTGAGATATTTATTTTTATAAGAATGCGAATTGAGAATTTTGGGGTGGGTGGGGAGACTGAATTTCGGGGCAGTGAGTGTGCAGGTTTTAATTTTCTTGACTTTTTATAGAATTGCAGCATTCGAAACCAGAATCGAACGAAAGCGGAGAGAAAGAAAGAGAGAGCATTGGTGATGGTGGGGGAGAGAGAAAGAGAGAGAAAGAGTGTGTGTGAGTGAATGTGCGCGCGCGGGTGTGGGGGGGTTGGGGAGAAAGCCTCGTCCTCTCTTTCTCTGCACAAAGCCTTTCCTCTCTCCCCCCCACCCCCCCCGCCTCCCCCCACCCACCCCCCCCCCCATCCACCCGGCATCCGAGCTGTCGATTGGCATTCTATTGGGTGGAATTAGCCAAAGCAGGCAGACTCACTTACACTGGCTGCATCACACGGCAGAGGCAGTGGGACACAGAGTAGAGCAATCTGCATTTTCTTTCCAAAAAAAAACTGGCCTATAGTTTAAAGCCACCCATGCTTTAGACCAGGAAATCTCTGTGTACTGTTTTTTTTATTGGGTGTGTGTGTGTGTGTGTGTGTGAAGGGGTGGGGGGTGGGTGTGGGTGTGTGTAGGAAAGATTGCACCTCCTGGGGCAAGCAAGGCTAGGCATATACTGTGCAAGGGGGCATCTCTCACAGAGCCAAGTGATTTGGACGTGACTTCACATTGGGTGCTCCTAACAGTGTTCATACCCACTCTCTCTGCCTCTTTCACACAAAGAGTACACAACGTCGCGTGGCATAGAATCCTTCTTTTATTGTTAAAAAACACTCTGAGCTACAAGCAACGACCGATTTGAGTTTGACCATGGTATTGAATAGAACCTTTTATTTCAAGTGAAATATCCGCTTGTTTTGTGTTTTGCGCGCTGTGTGTGCGTGTGTGTGCGTTCCTTTTTGAAAAAAACGTCGTTGACAGGGTAGAGATGGACTGGGGTTGGCGGAGGGAGAAAAGTATTTTGACTTTTTAAGACGAATGCGCTATTTTATTTTTGCTTTTGTTAAAACTTCACTTTGTCTCTCTCCCTCTCCCACACCTTTACCTCTGTTCTCTCCCTTTTCCCGCCGTCCCCTCTTTTCCCTCTCTCTCTCTCTTTCTCTCTCTCTCCCGATTCCAGGATGAATTCCATCCCTTCATTGAAGCACTATTGCCCCACGTCCGAGCCTTCGCGTACACATGGTTCAACCTGCAAGCCAGGAAGCGAAAATACTTCAAGAAGCACGAGAAACGTATGTCCAAGGAAGAAGAGCGAGCCGTGAAGGACGAGTTACTGAGCGAGAAGCAGGAGGTGAAACAGAAATGGGCGTCCAGGCTCCTGGCCAAGCTCCGCAAGGACATTCGGCCTGAGTACCGGGAGGATTTTGTCCTCACCGTCACCGGCAAGAAACCCCCTTGCTGCGTCCTGTCCAACCCGGACCAGAAGGGTAAAATGCGCCGCATCGATTGCTTGCGCCAAGCAGACAAGGTGTGGAGGCTAGACCTGGTTATGGTGATTTTATTCAAAGGTATTCCGCTGGAAAGTACTGACGGGGAGCGGCTGGTGAAATCCTCACAGTGCTCGAACCACGGGCTGTGCGTACAACCGCATCACATAGGAGTTTCGGTCAAGGAACTCGATTTGTACTTGGCGTACTTCGTGCAAGCTTCGGGTAAGTTCCGCATCTTTTTTGGATTTCTTATTTTTTTTAAAAAAGCCACCTCCTTGACTTACATTTGTTATCGATCTGTTATTTTATTTCCTGGGGAACAGAAGCTTGCCATTGAGTGGGAGTTGGGTGGGGTGGGGTGTGGGATTGGGGAGTTGTGGGGGTGGGGGAATGGAGATGGGGTGAAAATCGATGCTTTCAATCAAAGGGGGTTCCAGGTGGGTTTGTTTGTGATGTTAAGCAAAGCAGGTTTCAGCCCAATGAATTCAGTCTCCTCGCCTTGCGGGTAAAAGCGATGTGTCCGTTTGGTGGGCTGACTGTTTGACATGTTCACGAACACATGACGCACGGACCTTGGTAGCAAATGGAATGTTGCCTGAATTTTTTATATATATTTGTATTCATATTTATATATACATATATAATATGTTTTATACTTCAGGTTCAAAAGAACATTGTGGCCTTTTCTGTGATAAATTATGAATTGCTCACAGGTCAGATCAGTGAGATGTGCAAAACTTTCCAGCTGTGTTTTTAATATGCTTCACAATATCGTCTTTCTTCAGAATGAAATCAGACATTTCTTTCCTCTATCTCTCTTCCTCATTCCCTCTATACCTCCTCCGCCACCCAATCCCCCCCCCCCCCCCCCCCCATCCCACCCTCCCCCATCCATCCGCACAGCCTAGCCCAGAGGAATCCACACAGGAAAGTTTCCTCTCTTAACATGCAAGAGAAGAGGTGTTACAGATTTGCTAACTTTTTTGTATATATATATATATGTGTTTGTGTGTGTATATGTATATAATTCTGGAGAGTTGGCAGATGCCCGCCTGCCCATGCCATCCATTGAGAACAGCCAGAGTAACAAAGCCGTAGTTTTCAAATGTTATTCTGGATTAATAACTCCCCCTATCACCCCCCCCCCCCTCTACCTCTCCCCCTTCCCCCCCCTACCCCCCCATTCCACCGTCAAGTGTTGCTGTGAATGGGCCTGGTTAGGGCCGTGGGAGTGTGTGGATTGGGAGACTTGCATTGAAAGCTACCCGCGTCCCAAACCATTGCTTACAACAGCCAGGTAAACGCCCCCTCCCCTCCCCCCCAGTCTCCCCCATCACCTATACAGGTTTACTCACCTTCACCAGTGGCATTGCAGACAAAGTGTGTGTGGGGGGGGGGTTTGGATGGGGGGAAGGGAGTGTTCAGCAGTGACTGAATGAAATACCACCCTGTCTGGTGTTCCTATATAGTCTATGTCCCTCGCTTTCCTCGGCAGCAATGGAAGCGATGGCAATCCATCTTAGTTGGAGCTGCTTAACCTCACTGCAAACCAATGCCATTCAGAGTACCAACCATCACTGAACGGACTTCAATGAGACGATAATCTTTTTTTTACAGTATTTACTGTCTCATCTCTTTCCCCCTTCCCTCCTCCCTCCCTCCCTCCATCCCTCCCTCCCTCTCTATGTATCTCCCCGACTCTTCAAAGCCCTTGTTGAGGCGGGGGTGGGTGAGTGTGGGGTGGGGGGGGAGGGAGGGGGGTCGGCGGCGGCGTTTACGCTCGTGGAGTCGTCTTTTGTTGGCAGCCTGGCACCGCTGCCAGCCTGCTCTTTGTCCTGCTCAGCACTGCTCTTGGCACAGCCCCTCGTCGCCTCGCTCGAAAACAGCCGAGAAATAAAACACCAAATAAAAGCAACAGGAAAAATAAAATAAAATTGAATTTTTACCTTATTCCTTCACCCTCCCCCCACCACCCCCCGCCAACCCCCTCCCGATCAGCTCTACTCCCCTCACCCCCGCTCAGAAGCTGCTATGTTTAATTTTCTGCAGGCAGGTGGTATGTGTCTGTGCGTGTGTGTGTGTGTGTGTGTGTGTGAGTGTATGTGTGGGGTGGGGAGGGGGGTGGTGAGTAAGGGGCAAAGGGGGAACAAAGTGGGGAAATAATTTAAAAAAAGCAAAATATAGATATGTGCAATCCTGCAAATAAAAACAGACGTGTGACCTCTCTTTCTCTCTCTCTCTCTCCCCTTCCCCTTTCCCTCCCCTCCCCTCTTTCCCGACCAACGCAGCCTTCAATGCAGACCTCCCCCCCATCCCCCCCTCCCCCAGCCCCCCCCCAGGATCACTAGTTGAAAGTTGTAGGCAGCGAGGCTGGCTGGCTCCATTTTGGCCTGTTTGGAGGGTTCAGAAGTTCTCAATGAGCTGAGCAGCTGCCAGTGTTGGCAGAAGGGACAAACTCTAAAAAAGTGCTTTGTCCAACATGCCAAAGCCAACATGAGAATACGTGGCCTCTCTCTCTCTCTCTCTCTCGCTCGGTCTCTCTCGCTCTCTCTCTTTTTTTCCGCTGACGCTCTGCTCTTTCTCGCCTGATCCAGAGCGCCATGTTTTTAGGGGGCGAAATGCGATTGACCCGCAGCGCCAAGGAATTTTCTGCAGCAGAGCGGAATATTCTGCCACCTCACCGGGTTTCACTCTCTTGTTTTTACGCTCGACTCCAAAACAAGCCAACAAAATGAGACAAAAAAATAAAATGGCGCCTGCCTGGGTGACGGCGTGCTTTTCGGTCGTGCTGTTGGGGTTAAACGCTCCGTGGTGTTGTGTCAAGCGCTCCGAGACGCTGCCGGTGTGAAGGGCGCCATATAAACACAAATTCTTGCCGTCGGGGAAATCCCACAAAAGTGTTTTTTTGAGCGGCTACAGAATTCTCTGCAAATTTGACCTTTTTTTTACATTTTAAAATGGAGCTTTGCAGGCAAGAACGTGACTGAAAATCAGCCCCGTCTCTTCGTCAGTGAGAGGCTGGATGGTGAGATGTAGTGTCCGAGTTCTGTAATTCAGTATGAATAATAATAATAATAATAATAATCCTTGAATTTGATATAGCGTTTTTCAGATCTTCGAAAAGAGCTTCACAGAATACACTGTAAAGTAAATTGACTGCATTTTTCATGGGTGAAACGCAGCAGCCAATTGCGCACAGCAGCGTCCCACAAACAGCCGTGGATTGAGTAACCAAATTCTTATTATTTTTTTGAAGGGATTATTACCCCTGGAAAAACGATCCACCAAGCGACTAACAACCGGGTTCCTACTTACTGTTGGGTAAACAGAGGTGCGTGGAATAAGGAAACGAGCCTAACGTTTCACCCCGCCTGGGAATCGAACCTGGGTCCTATCGCGTGCGAGGCGAATGCTCTAACCGCTGAGCTACAGAAATCTTCTGTGTGTACAGCACATGAAAAGCGGTTTGAAATGCACCAGTTCTGCGCGATTGCTTTTGCATGCACGGATGCTGTGCTGCACTGCGCAGTCCTGAATAATGCAGATTATAAACTGCAACAGATACCCATTTGCTAGCGAGCGCAGGTCTCGAGTTTCTGTTTGTTCAGCGGGTTAAGGGTTAATTCATAGGTGACAGGGAGAAGTTTCACTTATTTTGTTCCCAATACACAGTCAATCCATTTTACAGTATAATACAGTATAATTTTACAATATTATTTTTTTACAGTATACTTTGTGAAGCGCATAGAGACGTCTTAAAAACGTGATAACGCATGATATCAAATGCAAGGTTTATTATTATTATTTTAAAAACACACACACACTGCACTTTCTCTCTCTCTCTCTCTCTTTCTCTCACTCTTTCTCGCACCCAAACTTTGTTCAGAATGCGGGAGGGAGTTAGGCACAGCCACAGCCCCAATTGCACGTTCCCTCTCTCTTCAATCTCGCTACGTCAAGCTATCTGGAAAGGGAAAGAGGAGGTGGAGTGGGGGTTGACGGTGGAGTTCATGAGGTGCATCTCAAAGCAGCGAGCACCAGTGAGCTTTTGCTGCCCAGTTTCAATAAGAAATGCCAAGCAGTTTAAACGGGATGGGCAGTCCAACCACTTTCACTTCAGGAATAAGTGCCAGTCACTCAGCAGGCTACGGGCGAATTGTTACATGATTTTGTCTGCGTTAAAGTAATTCATATTGTTAAACACTGGAAGGATTTTCCCCACCTCCCTCCCTTATTCCTTCACTCCTCAGGTTCTTTCTCGTGAGAGAGTATAATGTAACGTTTGCTTCAGTCTGAAACCCTTTGAAACATTCTCCCTGAATAACATTTGAGCAGAGGCGTTAAAAGAAAAATTAGCTTATTCTGCTCCGTTCAATCCCATTTCCTAAATGTGCGCCCCCCCCCCTTCCCCCCGTTAAAAATAACCTCAGAGCAATTTTGAAAGTGGAACGTAATTCTTTTGCTGAGCTGGATGGGAATTTTGAGATTGATTTGAAAATTTGAAAAATTAGGAAGCGGGGGGAATAAATTGATTATTCACCCTCAAAGGCTGTTCGTTCACAGGGTCTTGACATGTGTAAACAGGCGCCGCTCTTGCTGACAGGAACTGTCCGTACACTAGACAGTTTATCAGTGAAGCGCTCCGAAGCGTCTAAATTAAACTAAATCTGCAGAACAGGGAATGCTAAACATTTCTCCCACAAAATATACGGTCGAATCACTTCACAGTGTATCCTGTGACGCACTTTGAGACGTCTCGAAGACGTGATAAGGCACTGTATCAAATGACAGGATTATTATTAAAACACTAAACATTTAACCTGCAGCAATGATGGAGCTCAATAATAATGACAATAATAGTCCTTGCATTTGATGTCGCGCCTTATCATATTGTTGAGACATCTCAATTCGCTTCACAGGATACACTGTAAAGGGGAGCAACTGTGTGTTTTATGGGTGAAACGCGGCAGACGATTGCGCAAAGCCGTGTCCCACAAACAGTCGTGAATTGAGCGAGTAAATTATTATTACTATTTTTTTTAACTACCCCTCCCCTTACGCGCACAGACACACACATGCGGATTCGGAAAATTAATCTCCGAAAACCGGACGATGTAAATACTCCAGTTTCCTTGCAAGTTAACCGATAAATCGGTCGGTATCTTCTTAAAAAAAATCCTCTAGCTTTGTCAGTTGATGTTCCGCGCAAAGCATCAACTGTC